CCTCTAATATGAACATCCATGATGGTTTTGATTTGGAAAAGCAGCAAGAAGAAACGTGGAGACAGCTGTGATTTCCCCACAGGAATGTGTGCTTGAACGGAGAGATCTAGACCACATGCAGTGTGCGGTTAAAAATACGCTTTCATGAAAAAACATGTCTCTCCACACAGGTAGTTTTAATCCACTGTTTGGCTCTTAAATTTAGACTTCTTGCTTTTGTCTTTCAGCCCTCCAAGGCCTTTCCGGTTTCCCAAAAGGTAAGCATACTCCTCTTTTTTTATTTATTATAATTTTATATTTTTATCATTTTTGTTGTCATTTAAAATTATTAAAAATTTTTTAAATATTTTTTATTATGTTTTATTAGTTGACTGTAATGTCATAGCTAGCTATCTATCTATATTACAATACATTACATTACAATTTCAGTTCATGGAAAATTATTAATTAATAAAATTAAGACTAAAATATTTTTACAAAATGTTAATTTTAAATGACATAGTGAGCATTATACATAAAAAAATATTAAATTCTATTTTTAATTTTATTTTATAATTACATTTTTTGTTGTATAAAAATGCTTACAATATCCTTTAAAATTATTTACTTATGCAATATTACAATATATTACATTACAATTTGAATGAATGGAAAACATTTAACTAATAAAAAATGTGATTTTAAAAAACTTTTTTAAAAAGTCAATTTTAAGTTATGAATTTTTTTGTAAATTAAAATGTGTAAAATGTATATACAATGTTGTTTTCATGATTTGCGCTTGTACAGTGAAGAAGCTGGACAGTATGTAGTATACAGTGATATACTTATTTATGCATATGATGCATGAATCTCCCTAAATTGCAGTTATGCGGAGCTCATTGCTGATTGGCCAGTGGTGGTGTTAGGGGTGTGTACCGTTCTCATCGTGGTTTGTGCCCTAGTCGGTATCCTCGTTCCCGACCTGCCTGACTTCTCAAATCCACTGCAAGTAAGCATGAGGAGCTGTTTTGGTCTTCTTTATAAGATACTGACATTTTCAGATGGCAGGCATAGATTGCAATGCCACGATACGTAATAATTACCATATTCTGTCCAAAAACATGTTTGTTTTTGGAACTTTTTTTGTTGGCAAATATATAAACTAATCCAAATTCTATAATAATTAAAATTAATAAACATTCCTGGACTTACTGTGATAAAATCCTAGATGGATCAGATCCTTATAGAAAAATGTCCAGCCCTAAAAGTCAGAAGTATGACACTTTATGGTGTCTCATGTTGATTTTATGGGCAGCTTGAGTGAATATTTGTTGTCATTTTTCTTATTAGGGATTTGAGCCGAGAGGCACTGCAATAGGCCAGAGACTTGTAACATGGAACAACATGGTGAAGAACACGGGCTACAAGGCAACGCTGGCCAACTACCCCTTCAAATACGCAGACGAGCAGGCCAAAAGGTAACAGAGTCCACTTCTTATCTGATAACCATATTTTCCTGTTCGTATTCACCCAGAACAGCACTAGATGAGTGACGTGAGCCAAGCGAGGATTAGGACTGAGGCCAGGATTGGTCAAAATTGCTGCGTCTATGGGATTTTGGTTTTGCAATAGGGAACATGACCTGTTTATATTTTATTTGCACATTGCAAAATGAACAGCACATCAGAAATTAGACTGATTTAAGTTGCATTTTTAGCTTTTTGTCTTCAAATGTGCATTATAAAGTCAATATATTGTTGGCAGACAGTCTAGACATTTTGTTATTGAATGCAATGACAATCAGATCAGCGCAGATACTTTTGGGGCCACTTTATATGCATTTTTTGTTCCTGAATAGCAGTGCTGCTTGGTAATGCGATCTGTGGTGGCTGTATCATGACTCATCTGATCTGGATCATCGTGAGCTGGATTACAGATCATGACAGAAGCGGTCTGAGAGAGAATGAGCATCTGTAAGGCATGGCTCCATCTCAGCATGTGCATAGGCGTCTTCCCTCTGATTAAAGAGACTTC